CCGGCTTGTAATGTTCTGTTTCCGGTCCAGTCACCGATCATCGCTTGATCGACCGCAAAATAGAGAACCATTTATTCGGCTGCGTTTGGTACGTGTGTACTGCTGTGGTGTGAGGAGCAAGAATCCCGCGTTTGTAGTCCATGCCACTACTCTGTTGTGTATGCTACAGCTAACAGCAGCTCGATCGTCGTCTGTTCAACTTTGCATTTTTTCAATCTGCAAATGGGAACCTGGGTCCACGTCTGTGGGGAGCGATGAGTAGCGGGTGCTTGAGCTTATCGTCAGAGATGCCAACAAAATGTTCTCAGGACCTTCCCATTTATTTAGACTTTTGAGTGAAAGGGCACATGTGTTGCCCCCCTCATGGAAGAATGACAACAAACAGCACATGTACTTCTTGGATCGACCATAAACTGCTGTTTGCATTGTAGTTGGCACGAACCTCTCAAGATGTGCATGTACACCATGTAGTACATAGCTCCATCGGTTACCGTCATTTGTTTCTTCCTCGCTAGAACACAGGCATGCGTTGGTGAGCGCGTACGGCCAGAGGCTTATTCCAAATAAGAACCTCGCTCTAGCACTTCATTCAAATACCAGCTTTGTTCGGCACTGCTGCAGCAGACGACATCATTTACAAGTCGAGGCTGCGTCGCTGTGGTATGGCATTGATCACAGTTCCAGATCCCGCCCCGGGAAAGCATGGAACAGCGGTTTGTCCCACTCTGTACAGAATTCCATAACATCGGCTGAATGGTTCAGTCGGTAAGCTCGTTGAATCTTCAAGCTGTAGGGTTTGGTTTTCAATTTCTCCGGAATGAAAAAATCTGACCTATGCATCCCTGACAGCACACAGCGAGGAGGTTTGCTGAAACGTTCTCGTGTCACTGCTTGCAGTCAAAGACCGCGGGAAGAAAGGTGGAGGGTTCCTTCTGTGTGACCCTGGCTGCTGCGTGAACGTGTGCCGGAAGGTGTATGGCCCGGGCAATAGACAAGTGGCGGGTGCGGCGACCGAACACCAGGTCTAAGCGCCGAAGTGTACCACACACGCAGGTGTCCATGGCTGATACGGATCGCGGCGCACTGAAGGCCATGTTCCGTTCGACCAGTGGGGTCAGATGGAAGAGGAAGGACAACTGAGACACACCCGCTGACCTACATGTCGCAACTTGGTTGGAGTCGAAGTCAACCACCAGGGCCGCGTGATGAAACTTTCCCTGGACAAGAACAATCTCCAAGGTATTCTTTCTGCCTCTCTTTGCTGCTGATAGAGATTGATGTGCATGGCCACCCCCAACTATTCGTGATCGGTGGGTAATCCTCTTAAAACGTTTCGGCAGATGATATTTGCCAGCCATTTTTTTTGTTCATGGCATGCATTCCATTACCCAACTCTTTGCGGTGCTTGGCACGACTTCGCCGTACCTTGCCAAACGTACCCGTACCTTACCTGAAACCGCTGAAAGTTTGGCCCCCAGAACACCTTGTGTAACCTCAGCACAATCACAACCAGTTGCATGACACCTTACGCTTCGAAACCCACGTGTTGGGGGGAAACCTCTTCAGGAGCACGGGACAAAAATTCACAACAACAATGATACCCCATTATCTCTTCTGTGTATCTTGCGCAGGGCCTATGCCTGGGGAATTGGGAGCTCTTGCCGAGCTGAAGGAGCTTTGGCTACATATCAACCAACTTGAAGGTAAGAAGCTTGCACCCGTAAGTTTTTCTACACCTGTACAAAGGTTGCTTCGCGGGGTTACTGAAGGCTAGTTTTCCTGCGAATGAGCAAGTAGGCCATCACATGCTCTATCTGAAAGTACGGCGTGACAAATCTTATTGCAGATACCAAAGGAGTATTTTTGCAGTTCCCCGTTATCAGACCCCCCTCGGTGTTTGCCATCGGGAGGGGTTTTCGTCGTTTGGCAACGACGTTGTAAAACAAGCCAAGTCACTTCGTGAACTCGGCAACCAGGATACCGTTTTTTTTTTACCTATGTTGTGTTTTTTTGGCGGATACCATAATGGTGGTCGAGTAGATGGTCGCGCCACGTTGTGTTAAAATGGTCAAGCACCCTCGAGGCAGTTACACAATGCTTTTAACTGTCTCTGGAAGTGAAGCACCAGAAAGTAAATTAAGTCACACGCAGCTGTCATCCGTAAGCAAGGAAGTAAGCACAAGATGCCGAACACCCTTAGCAGGATGCAGCGCACCCTTCATGCGACTCGCCGAATA